TGATCTGCAACCCTTCCTGGTCTAAGGGAGGAAGGGCTCCTCAAAGTACGTGACCAAAACAGAAAGCCGCTGCGATCGATTTAAATGAAAACAAGTTTCTAGCCCTTAAGCCTGAGAAGATAGGCTTGAATGCACAGGAGCAGCGAGGCAGCTGAAGGAGGTTTAATATTGTGGGGTGCGGCTTTGGCCCAACCACTTGTTTCCTGGTGCCCCACCCTTCAAGGAAAGGTTGCGTCAGAGCTCGAAGCACCCAGAGGGCGGGATGCAGCTTCCTCTGGCGCCGGATTGTGGTTTTTTGAAAAAGGAAACTGGGAACCAGTGCAAGGAAGAAACTGGGAAGTCGCTGGAACAGGTAGAGGCAAGAACTGGTGGGAGCAGGAAATGAGGAGGGATTTCCTGATAACGAGAATCATTAAGTACTCGAACTGCTTGCCTCCCCACGTTGTAGCTACTCCATCAAGGAAAGATTTCCAAGAAAAGATTTGTTCAAGAATGGTGTAATTGTCCGGAATGGTAGACGGATAGTCCTTGACTTACAACAGCTCGCTTAATGACCAAACAGCACTGAAAAAAGAAAAAGTGACACAGCTGTCTTTCACGTTTACAACCGTCGTAGCATCATTGTAGCAGTCCGGGGATCAAAATTCAGACCCTTGGCAACTGACTCGTACCTATGACGGTTGCAATGTCTTCTTGGGGGGGGACGGGGAGTCACATGATCCCCTTTTGTGTCCTTCTGATGAGCCAAGTCACTCTGATTCACTTAACAACCGTGGTACTTGCTCGACAACTGCCGCGAACTTGATTGTGGCCAAAAAAAGGGCGTAAAAGGGGAGGAAACTCATGTCACGATCGTCTCACTTAGCGACAGAAATGTTGGGGCTCGGTTGTGGTCGTACGTTGAGGCATACCTGCCACGGGGCAGGGGTTGGAATAGAGGATCTCCAGAGTCCCTTGCAGCCCTGTAATTCTGTGATTCTATCCCCGAGACAGGGAAATCGGTTCTGCACAAGACAGTTGATATTCTCAAAGCAGAAGCTGAGTAGGAATTATGTTCTAGAAGTTGTTCTAGAGCAGATAGACTTGACTTACTCGACCTATGCCTGGAGTCTTCATTGCCTCATTGCGTCCACCATTTTGACTTATTTGACCCTTCCCTAAAGCTTTCAATGCCTTGTTGTGACCGCCATCTTATTTGAGCCTTCTCTGGAGCTTTAATTGCCTCATCGCGTCCGCCATTTTGATTTCTTTGACCCTTCCCTAAAGCTCTGATTCTCTCATTGCGTCCGCCATTTTGATTTCTTTGACCCTTCACTGGAGCCTTGATTGCTTCATTGCGACCACCATTTTGATTTCTTTGACCCTTCCCTAAAACTTTGATTGCCTCATGGCGTCTGCCATTTTGATTTCTTGACCCTTCCCTAAAACTTTCAATGCCTCATTGTGACCGTCATCTTATTTGGCCCTTCTCTGGAGCCTTGATTGCCTCATTGCGTCCACCATTTTGATTTCTTTGACCCTTCCCTAAAGCTTTCAATGCCTCATTGTGACCGCCATCTTATTTGACCCTTCTCTGGAGCTTTGATTGACTCATTGCGTCCACCATTTTGATTTCTTTGACCCTTCCTTAAAACTTTGATTGCCTCATGGCATCTGCCATTTTGATTTCTTTGACCCTTCCCTNCAGCCCCAGGCCTGCCGGAACAGCCAGGTTTTAGTGGCTTTTCGGAAGGCCGAGAGAGTGGGAAGGGTCCGGATCTCTGCGGGTAGATCGTTCCATGGGGCCGGAGCAGCTACAGAGAAGGCCCTCCCCCGGGGGGGTGGCCAGCCGGCATTACCCAGTCGACGGTACCTGGAGGAGGCCCAGCCTATAAGATCTTATCAGCCGTTGGGAGGTATGTGACAGGAGGCGGTCTCGCAGATAGCCAGGTCCTACGCCATGTAGGGCTTCAAAGGTAATAACCAACACCTTGAAGCGTGTCCAGATACCGATAGGAAGCCAGTGCAGCTCGCGGAGGATCGGGTGTACCTAGATACACCCATGTTACCATGGGTGTATCTAGGTACACCCGATATCACTAGCGCGGCTGCATTCTGGACCAACTGTAGTCTCCGAACACTCTTCAGGGGCAGCCCTCCACTTACAACAGCTCACTTAGGGACTCTTCCAAGTCACTGGAGAAAAAGCGACTTAGCGCCGTTTTTTTCACACCGACGGGAGCATCCCCCTGGTGACGCGCTCAAAATCCAGGCCCTTGGCAGCTGACTCATACTTACGACGGTCACGCCGATCCCCTTTTGCGACCTTCTGCCCGGCCGAGTCAATGGGGAAGCCAGATTCCCCTTAACAACCGAGTTACTAATGTAAAACGAGTCGTAAAACGAGGCCAAACTCGCTGAACAAAGACGTTTTAAGGCCCCAGATGCGGTCGCGAGGCAGGGGGGGAGTTTCCTCTGTACAGGTCTCCGTCGCGGTAGTAACTCAAGGACTACTACCTGATAGTTTCCTGACTCTTCCCCATTGAGTGGGGGCTGTTGTCGGAAAACGGCAGGGTTTCAGTAAGCGGGCGAGCTCTGCGCAGCAAGCCAGCTTTGATCTATTTACAAATAAATAACCCTGCGGAGTTATGCGTTCTCTTTGCTTCCTGTTTTGGGCCAAAAGCCACATTCGAAGCCAAGCGGATGGTTTATTTTTTTTNACAAATCCTGATTAACAGGGTTGGAAGGGACCTTGTAGATCATCTAGTCCAACCTCCCGCCCACCCGTGATGGTGAACCCATGGCGCGCATGCCAGAGGTGGAAAGCAGCACCCTCTCTATGGGTACACAAGCCATTGCCCCAGCTCAGTGCCGCTGTGCATGCCCATGCGCCTCCCGCCAGCCAGCTGGTCTTTGGGCCTCTGCCGCGCATACAGGGGAGGTGGGGCATATGCACGGGGGCGCATGCGTGTGGGGGGGGCGTGCTCCCATTACATTTCTGTAGTTAAGTGAGTTTTACTACCATTTTACAACCTTTTGTTGCCCCAGTTGCCAGGCGAATCACTGCACTTAGGTCAGTTAAAGGAACCTGGTTGACGTCGGCTTGACTCCAGGACATTGCAACCGTCGTAAATACGAGTCAGTTGCCAAGTGCCCGGATTTTGATCACATGGCCACGAGGATACTGCAATGGTCATAAGTGTGGGAAACGGTCATAAGTCGCTTTTTTCTAGTGCCGTTGTCGCTTCGGACGGTCACTAAATGAACAGGTGTAATTTCAAGGTGTACCTGCACAGGTAGCCCCCGACTTACGGCTGGTCACTGAGGGTCTGTTTGAACTTACGACGAATGCCCTAAAAAGTTGTTTACGAAGAGCCACGTTTCCAAGTTCTGAGAGAAACACACAACGACGGTCACACAGGGCTGCATTTCGGTCACACGGCAACTGGCTCCCATTTCCAGTTGTCTGCAACCCTCCCTGGTTACGTCATTTGTGATTTTTTGCTGGAAACGGGCAAATTTCTGGCAAAAATTACCTCAGAGCAAACCACCGGTTTCCTTAACCAGCCGCTGCATTCAGAAACGGCTGTGAAATTGCATCCAGTCATGCAGCAAACCCGCTTTCCGACCGTCAGGACTCGCGATCGTAATGACAGGGCTCAATGACCACCGTAANAGGACTTTTGCCAGAGCATTTATCTGTGTTTATTTTTGGGCTCGCAGCCAGCAAGAGCTGGGATTGATAAAAACATTCCTTTGAACGTTCTCTTTGGCTTTCGTTTCTGAACGGACAAGGTGGGAGGTCAGAACAGCTGTGAATCATAGATTTCAGTAGCTACCATATTGACTATGGAAGGAGAGTCCTGTTTTAAGGGCCAACACATGTATTCTTCCTTTAAGGTTGGGAATATGGCATTACCATTCCTCCTGACAATAAACCAAAATCCTGGGGCGCCGCAGAAAAAATGTACCACACCCATCGAAGGCGACGGTTGGTTCGAAAACGCAGAAAAGATCCAAGCCAAACAGCAGCTGCATTCAAGGTAAGACAAAGAAATTGCAGCGTCTGTGGAAAAGAACGGAGGTTGTGGGAAATAGAAGTCAGAAAACGTTTTGTCAAAAAAGTATGTTCACCTGCTTGTTACGATTGTCTTTTAGGAAACCGCATCATACGAAGATCACGAAGGGTGGGAATTCGCGTCTTTGATTGGGTGGAAGTTTCACTGGAAGCAACGGAGCTCGGATACTTTCCGCCGCCGGCGCTGGAGAAGGAAAATGGCTACTTCAAATACATACGGGGCAGCCGCCATCTTTAAACTCGAAGGAGCTCTTGTACGTAGGGATAATTTGCCTTGTCTGCTCTCACTTAATGATCCCTTTGAACACAACCTATAATTTTAAAAAAGTGCGCTTAAATGGGAGCTAGGCAAGTAGATTAAAAAGTGGCGCCCTCGGTTCTTTTCTCCCATTTCACAGTCCTAACCACCTTCCCTTCTGCAGGTGCTGTTTAATATAGTCAGAAAGTGTTCTAAGCAGGGCAATTGTTTAGTGAGTCACACCTGATTTTACGACTGTTTTTGCTCCAGTTATTAAGAGAGTCACTGGGGTTAGGTGAATTGCACAGTCTTTAAGAAAATTGGGCTCCCCCTCTCCGCTGACTTTGCATGTAAACAGTTGGCTTGAAAAGTCACGAATAGCAATAGCAGTTCGACTTATATACCGCTTCATAGGGCTTTCAGCCCTCTCTAAGCGGTTTACAGAGTCAGCATATCGCCCCCCCAACAACANCTGCCAAGCCACTCCCGCTCGGTCACATGGCCAGCAAGCCACTCCCACAAAGCAGGCCACACCTACAGAAGAGGTTCTAAAACATTTTGAAACCCACCACTGGACCTTCCTGGAAATAAGGCCAAGCGCTTATTTTGGAATGAGAAAAGAGAATGAGCCCCTGTCTTATTTTGGGGGAAACACGGTAGTTAATATCAAAACCCTATAAACTAGTTACTCTTTCTTTTTTCACAATGGGATTACAGATAGGCCTTAACTTACAACATCTACTTAGTGACCGTTCGAAGTTACAATAGAACTAAAAAAAAAGTGGCTTAGGACTATTTTTCGCACGACCGTGGGTAGCATCCCCATGGCCATGTGATCAAAATTCAGCCGCTTGGCAACTGACTCACATTTATGACGGTTGCAGAATTCTGAGGTCTTATCCATCCCCTTTTGGGACCTTCTGGTCAACAAAGTCAGCGGGTTCACTTAACAACCGTGTCCCTCACGTCACAACTGCCGCGATTCACTTAACAACGTGCAGCAAGAAAGGCTGTAAAATGGAATCAAACTCACTTAGCTGCCTCACTTAGCAGCAGAAATGTTGGGCTCATTTGTGGTCATAAGCCGAGGGCTCCCTATATTTGGAAATCACTGACAAAATGATAAATGGACAAGAACTGGGGTTTTGTGTTGTTGTTTTTTTTAATGTCCCTAATGTGTTCCCCTTTTTGTCTTTGACTAGGTTTCACCCCGCTGCATTTAGCTGTTGCATCTTCGAGCCGCGACATCGTTCTTGCTTTGCTGGATCACGGGGCAGACGTAGATGCTGTGGTAAGCACGGGAGTTCAAGAGGATATTGTCAAGCGCCTGGGAAACCGGGAGAGTCAGGCATTTCAATGAGTATAAAGATTTATTGCAAACTTAAGCTCTCTACAAGAATCCGGCCAACTGGCCATTTAGGAAAATGAGCGGGAGATAAGAGAGGCATTCAAGGTGGGCTGGGTTTAGATCTCTTGCGGGCATGCAGGGACTGGTGACTTATGACGCGTTTGACCCCTCCCTCAGGCTCATCTCTTACAGGTATTGGGTATTGTTCATTTTGACGGTGTGGGAAGGAGGAAATGAATCGGGAAAATTGCATGAAAACTTCACTGATCTCTGCAATTGATTACAAGCTATGAATAATGAAGGATTGAAATGCAGAGACCTGTTGGTGAACCGTAAAGCTACACAATATTTTGCAAGTATTGTACTATGAGGGAAACTCAGGACGGTTAAAGGAAACTCAGGAGGCGTTCTGATTTATGGGAAAGTTTGTTTTCCCCAAGTAAACAAAAAGAACGCTAAATGAATAAGCAGGGGAAGAATTCATTTTTCATTCCAGGAAAGAGGTTGTGGAAGAGGATGTTACAATTTTAAACAACTGAATTGTTTAAAGGATTGGAATTTTAATAGGGAATGTTTGAGTAGACAGAGGAAAGGACTTAAGGAGGAAAACAGAACCCCCCTACCCCCCCTCCAAAAAAGGCTCAAGATAGATTTGAGTAGCTGCATTTTGGTGTGTTGCCAGTCTTATTTTGATAATTTTTTTAATGAAGGGTTAACGAATTTGCAATAAAGTTACACCCTTTCCTTTCAAGTTAGCTCTTCATTTTTGTTACGTTTACCTCTCTGCAAACTTCCACTAGTACAATAGTGCATAATACAATAGGATTCCATTGGAATATAGCAAAATCATTGTGCTTTTCTGTAAGAATTTAAGTGGCCCTGAAACGATATCTGTTTCAGAGTTACTGGTTTCCAACAGTGTTCCCCACTGTTTCTACGGGAATTCAGACTTCAGAGCTTTGAATGGTTTTTTGATGAGGAGTTAATTCATTTGAATTAAATTGCTAGTGTGCAGGATTGGGAATTTGCTGTGCCACAGAATTACATAGTAATACAGCAACAATATTGTTTTTTCCATGAGAATTTAAGAGAGCCTAATGTGTTACCTGTTTCAGAATGATTGGTTTCCAGCAATGTTCCCCACAGTTTGTATGGGAATTCAGAGCATCACAGAAGGCTGTACTTAATGTTAAGAGCCGAGGTGGCGCAGTGGTTAGGGTGCAGTACTGCAGGCCACTTCAGCTGACTGTTATCTGCAGTTCAGCGGTTCTAATCTCACCGGCTCAAGGTTGACTCAGCCTTCCATCCTTCCAAGGTGGGTGAAATGAGGACCCAGATTGTGGGGGCGATATGCTGACTCTGTAAACCGCTTAGAGAGGGCTGAAAGCCCTATGAAGCGGTATATAAGTCTAACTGCTATGTTAACTACTGTTTTTTTAAAGAGGAAATGGAGAAAAGGGAAATAATCATGATCTCGGAATTGTAAATGCAATTAATCTTCCCAACCTAATGCCAGTTGTAACCAACCCTGAGTGACTCTTGTTTGTAGGACATAAAGAGTGGCCGATCTCCACTCCTTCATGCTGTGGAGAATAATCATTTGGATATGGTGGAGTTGCTACTAGAGGTAAGGATGGTTTGCCGTTCTTGGGGGGGGGGGAATCCTCTTTTTAGCCTTTAGCCTTTTGGTTGTGGAGCCGAGGTGGCGCAGTGGTTAAATGCAGCACTGTAGGCTATTTCAGCTGACTGCTAGTTCGGCAGTTCGGCGGTTCAAATCTCACCGGCTCAGGGTTGACTCAGCCTTCCATCCTTCCGAGGTGGGTAAAATGAGGACCCGGATTGTTGTTGGGGGCAATATGCTGACTCTGTAAACCGCTTAGAGAGGGCTGAAAGCCCTATGAAGCGGTATATAAGTCTAACTGCTATTGCTATTTCTATTGCTATCCTTAAAGTGTGTGTGTGTTGTGCCCATTTTACAGCATGGCGCCAACGTGAACGCCCAATCCTACGGGGGCAATACGGCACTCCACACGGCTAGCGGAAGGGGTCTGTTAGACATGCTGCGGCTTCTGGTGAGGAACGGGGCGGATGGCAGTCTGAAAAATTACCACAACGACACTGCCTTGATGGTAGCAAAGAACAAAAAGGTAAGATGATACTACGGGGTGAATTTGCAGCCGTCTGATTAAGAACTACAAGTACAGGCAGTCCTCGACTTACAACAGACTGTTCAAAGTTACAACGGCACTGAGAAAAGTGACATTGTTCTGACCTAGGTTTCTTCCCAAAAAGCACGAAGCAGATTCCTGGTCCCGACAAAACCCCTTTTATTAAACGAATGTGAATTCCCCTCATTCCCATTCAGCAAAGGCCTGGCAAACAGTCTTTCAAAGGTGGATTTATGACCACCGACCTTATCTAGCTTGGAAAGCTGCCATGGAAGTATTTTCCAAACGCAGTGCTGTGCAAGGAAAGGCTGGGCACAGAGTCTCTGAGATTCACGGACAGATCTTCACACTCCTGAAACAAACAAATATACGAATGAATGAATTGTTTCTGCAAAAGCCCCCTCCCCTTTCGCTCCTCTTTTATTTCATACGGGACGGGCCCTTCACTGTCCACCTGTGGCTTTGTTCCCAAGTTAACCCTGATTTCTGAGCTGTCCTTTTCTTCTGGCAGCTCTGCGCGTGGGAACAGCTTAGCCATCACTGTTATAGGATTGTGTGACTTTGTAATCTTCCCAGCCAGTTTTTGACCAGCAAGGTCAATGGGGAAAGCCCGGTTTGCTTAATGACCAACGGACAAGGGCTTCGCGAGAGACGCCAAGCAATTATTTTCTCTCTGGGACAAAGGAGAGGAACAGAAAGTGCTGTTTACAAGGGGAGGGAACGTCATATTCAGGTCGGACTGGTTAAACCATTTCCTCAAAGTTAACAACAGAGGGATACGAGAGGTGCATCTTTGGTGTAAATGTACCGGGACTTTTGTAGGTGAATTTCCCCCCCACACACACACACACACAGATGGCGACCTGGGTTCATTACAGGCAGTCCTCGGACTTCACGTCCACGACTGAGCCCAGAATGCCTGTGGCTAAGCGAGACGTTAAGTGAGTTTTGCCCGCTTTTCTCGCCACAGTTGTTAAGCGAAGCACCGCGGTTGTTAAATGAGTAACCTGGTTATTAAATGAATCTGGCTCCACCACTGACTTTGCTTGTCAGAAGGGATCACACATGACCCCGGGGCACGGCAACCGTCGTAAATGCGAGTCTGTTGCCAAGCGTCCGAATTTGATCAGGGGGGGGGGAAATGCTGCAGTGGGCCACAACAAAGAGTCCTTGACTTGCAACCATTCCATTAATGACCGTCCAAACTTACAGCAGCACTGAAAAATGTGACTTACAACCGGTCCTCGCACTTACAACCGTCACAGTGTTCCCACAGTCACAATTCAGGTGCCTGGCATGTATGTCCAACATCCCAGGGCTCTTGTCGTCACCATTTGCGACTTTCCCAGGCAGGTTCCGACAAGGAACGTCAGTGGCAGAAGCCCGATTCATTTAACGACCGTGAGATTCACTTAACAGTTGCAGTGATTCTCTGAACAACCGAATTAAAAAAAAAAGGTCGTATAATCAGGCACAACTCAATTAAACATTAGCTTCCTTAGCAACCGAGATTCTGGTCCCAATTTTGGTGGTAAGATGAGGGCCCTCCCCTCCTTACCTTATTACCTTACATTTTCCTTAAATTTACTCAAAATTTAGATCCTTAGCATTCGTCCGTGGCTACTTTTCTTAAACCTTGAAAACCGAAGAGTTAAAGATTATCCGTAAATTAACATTCCACTTGTTCCATGACTGCTTGAGGTATTTATTATTTATTTATTTATTTATTAGACTTATATACCGCTTCATAGGGCTNAGAATTCCCCAGCCAGCGAATGCTGGCTGGGGAATTCTGGGAGTTGAAGTCCGGACATCTTCAAGTTGCCAAGGTTGAGAAACACTGATCTAATTCATGTTTGACTAAACCAACAAACAATTCTGACAGCGAGGAAGAAAATAACCCTGCAACCATTCCTCGCATTTGCAACCTTCTCGCATCTCTCGAAGGAAAAGAAAATCTGAAGTCAGATCCGAAAATCATAATGCTCTTGCTCTTGGTGTGGCCGCTCCGTTTAACGACCAAGCGACTCGTGATGGTCGCTGAGCGAGGACTCCTCGCGTTTTGTTAACCTCCGTAAACGTGGTGGGCTATGTTGTTGCTTTTACGATGGATGGTTTTCATGGTGGTTTCGATCTTTTTTAACGTCGTGAGGCCGTCCAGAGTCGCTGGACGCGAGAGGGATGGCAAATCCAGCTTCATTCATGCAGTAAGTTTCATTTATTTTCAGCAAATGCAAGCGTGCATGCGTGCATGCATAAATGCATTGCATGAATGAATGCAGTTTCTGTCTGCAAAGGCCTTTCTGACAGAAGCCTGCCTGCATTTCCTGCACGCTGGCTACCTTACGGGGAAAGGGAAACCTTTGCGTGGGTCCCCATTCCACCCACCCCCCCGCCATCATTTCCTCCTCTGTTTCTTATAAGCCTTGCTTATAAACCCTCTCCCCCGCCCCGCCCCCCTTTTCTGAGAAGCCTCCGGCTGCATGAATGCACGCAGGTGTAAGTAAGGGATGCGGTTTGATCATGGGAACTCAGCTGGTTTCCTCCGAATTGGGTGAGTAAAAGCCGTAGAGATGAAGCTGTGGCGTTGCCGGGCAATAGCGCGGCTCTGGTTCCAGGGAAGAGCAGCGGCGACATTGGGCTCTGCCTTTGTGGGTTCTGCCTCGGTTTGTTGTGTGTTGTGTGTTGACTTCCTCTACAAAGCGGAGCTGTTACCAGAAATGACCCCAGTAGCCCCAAAGAGCTTTCTCTCCACCCGCTCAAAAACGAAAAGGCATGTTTCTGCAGCGGAAACCTTGAATTCGGCATGTTCGACTCGAGGGGTTGAATTTAGACTTGGATTGAGATGTTTGTTTAATTTTATTAAGGTTTTGTTATGTTATTTGCAAACCATCTTTGCAATTGACCAATTAACTTGCAATTAATCTATTAATTGCTGGCCTCCAAAAGTTGTGAGGACCCCGATCACTGGAGATTTTAAAGGCGAGATCGGACAACCCTTTTTCTGGAATGGTATAGGGTTGGACTAGAACAGTGGTTCCCAAACTTGGCAACTTTAAGACTTGTGGACTTCAACTCCCAGAATTCCACAAGTCTTGAAGTCCACAAGTCTTAAAGTTGCCAAGTTTGGGAACCACTGGACTAGAAGATCTCCAAGGTCCCTTCCAACTCTGTTATTCTGCATTGAAACAAAATGGACTAGAAGACCTCCAAGGTCCCTTCCAACTCTGTTCTGTTATTTTGTTATTCTGCTGTGGGTGCTCCATCCCTGGAGATTTTTAAGAGATTGGACAACCATTTGTCTGGAACGGTATCCTGCTTGAGCAAGGGGTTGGACTAGAAGACCTCCAAGGTCCCTTCCAACTCTGTTATTCTGTATTGAAACAAAATGCAACTTACACACACACACACACACCCTTCTTGCACATTTTCTCTTTTTAAAATTTCTTTCTTTCCTTTTTTTCTTACTTAATGTTAGATTAGTTTGCCTTACTTATTTTCAATCCAGTTTAAAAGTTTTAGTAAAAATTCTAGACAGGTCTGAGGGTATCAAGGCGCATCTGGTGTGGGTGGGTGTAAATAAACCCCTTACAGAAAAACCGAGGGGCTTTAACTGAATACCGTAAATTTAGCTGCCATTAAGGCACCAGAGTAGAAAGTTGGAAGATTGGGAATTCTAGTTATGCCTCAGGCATGAAAGCCGTATGGGTGACTTTGGGTTAATCATCAGTAGATGGTGAGTTCTAGTCCTGCCTTGGGACTGAAAAAGCCAGGCAGGTGACTTCAGTCCCTTTCTCTCAGCCCAACCCACCTCACAGGGAAAATAGAAGGGAGGAAGTTGGATTGGCTATGTTCCCCACCTTGAGTTAATTTTAGAAAAAACAAAGGTGAAGAAGGGAGGGAAGGGAGGGAGGGAGGGAGGGAGGAAAGAAAGAAAGAAAGAAAGAAAGAAAGAAAGAAAGAAAGAAAGAAAGNTGAGATTTGAACCGCTGAACTGCAGATCACAGTCAGCTAAAGTGGCCTGCAGTACTGCACCCTAACCACTGTGCCACCTCGGCTCTGAGGTCACATCAGAGCTGAACCAGAGGAACTCACCATGGGTCCTCATAGTTGTGATTGTTGTGATTGTTATAACACATACAACCACACACACCCATGATGACAGAATCGCAATTTGAGCACGCAGCAACCGGTACGCAATTACAACATTGCAATGTTTTGCAATCACAGGATCCCGCTCTCTGACCTTCCCTGCCAGGCTTCCGACAAGCGGAGTCAATGGGGAAGCCTGCGGGAGGTTGAAGGTGCCGTCACATGACCTCACTCTTAAGGAACCTGTGGTAATTCGCTTAGCGATGGCGACTGTGAGCCCAGATACAGTCTTCTCGCTAGAAACAGTACAACGTGTCACCATCTTCTCCGCTTTCTGATCTTCTCCAGGCGATCGACATCCTGAGAGGAAAGGCTGTTCGGCCTATCCCGCATCCCGAAAGCAGCCATGATGGATCGTCCCCCACAGCCAGCGCCGCAAGCTCTCCTGGCCTTCGGACCCACAGCCGTAAGTAAATAGGCAGCCTGGATTTCATTTGTGACCTTCCCAGCTGGCTTCCCAACAAGCAAAGTCAGTGAATCATGCTGCCGTTAAATGAACCCTGGATTCATTTAACGACGGCATGATTCACTTCACCACGGCAGTGATTCGCGTCAGTATGGTGGTTTAAAAAAAACAACAACCCCACAGATTGCAAAATTGGACATGAGTCACTTAACAGCCATCTTGCTTAGCAACGAGGTTCTGCTAATTGTGGTCGTAAGTAGAGGACTCCCTCTATTTTGGAGCTTAGAATTTAGGAGCGAGAAAAGATTCTATTTTTGCTCCTGAATCATGCCAATCCAGCTTTTCCACGAGTGGGGACAGCTATGAGAAGAAGAAACATGGCTAATGTTGATGTTCCTCAAAACAATTTGCTCCCGAGAACGAGATGCATTCATGTGTTCCAATTTAGTGCATGGCAAATCCTTCTTCCATCTCAGAGGCGTCCAACTGTGGCCACTTTAGGACCTGTGGACTTCAGTTCCCAGAATTCCCCAGCCAGCAACATTGGCTGAGGAATTCTGGGAGTTGAAGTCCAGAGGTCTTCACCAGGGAATTCAAGGAAGTTCACAAGTCTTCACAAGGGAATTCTGGGAGTTGAAGTCCAGAGGTCTTCACCAGGGAATTCAAGGAAGTTCACAAGTCTTCACCAGGGAATTCTGGGAGTTGAAGTCCAGAGGTCTTCACCAGGGAATTCAAGGAAGTTCACAAGTCTTCGCAAGGGAATTCTGGGAGTTGAAGTCCACAAGTCTTAAAAAGGTTCGACACCCCTGGCCTATCTCAACCCAGCCCATAAAATCTAATCGGTATCTATTTAATCAATAGATTGCTCTTCTAACAGTGCTTTTGTCTCCCTTCAGACGTGCTCCACGCTTCACCTGACTCCTGCTCCACCAACCCCAGCCCGGATCAGACGCCAAAGCCTCACAGAGCAGGCCATTCTCCCAACCCAGCCACCCTGAGGCCAGAAAGCATTATCGTGACGAATGGACCTTCGACGTCCGCCCCGTTGCCTGGCGTGGAATTGGACAGAAGTTCCCATTCATCCACCCTGGAGCAGCCGATGAGCTTCCCAAGATCCTCCAAGGTTCTCCATCATGAGAACCTGACCGATCCCGCCTTCCACCCTGCCTTGTACCCCTTTTCTCCCGCCAGCCCTCACGCCTCCTCCTCTCACCCTCTCCAGTTGCTTCCGATAGGCCTGAGCCATCCGGTCATAGCCATGCCCCCAAGGACCATGGCCAATCGGATGTCCATGAGGTACCCAGGGATGGACCAGTCACAGAGGCTGCTGGACTCGGAAGGCCCGGTGGTTCTCAGCTGCGAAGGGCAGTGGCTGCACAGCAGTGAGGGTGGCCCTGGTGACAGCTGACGAGAGGAAGTCCAGCTGCTTTGTGGGACAGGAAGATTTCCCAAGGACCATTTCACAAGGCAGAAGAGTGAGTCAAGGCATTGCTTCTGCCATGGGTTTCCAGCCTGACATTTCTCCATCTTTGCTGCAGACTTGAAACGACCTTCCTTTTCCAATTGGCATGTAGCAAAGCCCAGCACGTTGAGAATACGTCTGCTGAATATAACTCCGCATTGGCAACAGGGACGGCATCCGGCCAGTAAACCCTCAGCTCCGTTCGGTTGTCCAGACTCTACCCCGCAAGGGATTATGGGGGTCGTTAAAAAGATGATGATGTAGCAGAGCCCAGCCAGCCTGAGATGATCCTTCAGACGTCAAAAACTCAACAATGGCCGCCTTGATCCAGAGACATCTCCCTCTCTCCCAATCTCTCGGAACGTATCTCGCACCACTGTCCGAGCAGAATCTGGGTTGGAGCAATTTGGGGTGTGAGTGTTCAGGGGTTAAAGACACAGAGTTTGTCAGCTGGAAAACTGACGGGTTCAAGACCCGAGCACTGCGCGACACGTGTGCTCCCGTTCCTTGCTCCAGCTCCTTGCCCACCTAGCAATTCGAAAGCATGCAAATGCGAGTAGATAAAGAGGTACCACTTGGTTGGGAAAATAACAGCCTTCCGCGGACCTTATGCTGGCCACGTGACCACAAAAACGTCTTCGGACAACGCGGGTTCCCTTGGCAACAGAAACGGGCACCGTGCCCTCGAATCGGACACGACTGGGCAGGGAAGCTTTCATCTTTCGTTCAGGAATCCCGTTTTAGCACCAGGAAGGGGAGCGGTGAAATCCAAAGCCCCATCCACTCCCCTCAGCTGACGTGATTTTTGACGAAACGCCGGAAGCGTCGCTCAAGTGGGGTAAACGTCTATTTGAATCGGCGGTGTTCTTTGTATTTAATAGGCATTAATTTAACTCAAGTAAAATTAGCACAGTCGCTCCGCGTGTATTTAAGCCTTTTGGCGTGTATTGTATTAGCGATTGCAATATGATGGTGGCACCTTTTCTGGGGTTTCGGGGGGCTGTTTACAGGTTGAATTGTGTGCATTTGGGGGTGGGGAAGAGAGTTGGCAGCCATGAGGCTCTCCCCAAGGCACCCCAAATTGCACGAGTGTGCACAGGTCATCCTCGACTTGCGACCGCAATTGACCCCAAAGGTTCTGTTGCCGACCTTTGTCCGGTGACTCTTGCTCCATTTTAACGGCCTTTCTCGTGAAGCGAATCGCTGCCGTTCATAAGTCAGTGACCCAGTTGTTAAGTGAATCTGGCTTCCCCCTTGACTTGTCAGAAAGTCGCCAAAGGGGATCATGAGACACACAAACACCCCGGGGACACTACAACTGTCATAAACATGAGTCAGTTTTGTCAAACGTCCGGATTTCAACCGCATGATCATGGGAATGCTGCAAAGGTAGGAACCTACCTCTGCGGGCCTGCCCGGAACCCGCCTGCGGTGTCTCTGCCGGCAAAAACACTTAGGAGGGCCACACAGAGTCTGTCCGGGCTCTGTTTTCGGTGGCAGAGGGCTGCAGGAGGCCGAAAACGGAGTGCGGGCGGACCGTGAGCGGCCTCCCCAAGCTCCGTTTTCATTGGCAAAGGGCTGCAGGAGGCCACTGTGGCTGAAAACGGAATGAGTGAGTGATATTGAGCTGGCCACGCCCACCCTGTCTGCACACACACACCCAGCTTTCCCAAGGTCAAACACGACCCTGAAGTGGCCCTCAATGAAACCGAGTTTGACACCCCTGGTATATGGTCTCCGGTGTCAGCAGGGGGTTGAACTAGAAGACCTCTAAGGTCCCTTCCAACGCCCTCATTCTGTGCTCTGTGAGCCCTCTGCGAAATTGCTAGAGCTGCCAGCATCTGTGGGGCTTTGTCTCCGACCCATGGCAAGACTCTGAATTGCACAGCCCTGAGCCACATGGACCCAGAGCCAGGAGGAAGCCAACTCTTCTTATCAGAGTCTATCTCCCCCCCCCCGCCCCGCCCCGAGAAGACCCAGGCAGGCGGGCTGACTCACTTTCTCAGNCCCCCCAGGGAAAAGGGCGGCATACAAATAAAGGGGAAATGAAAATGAAAAATTGCTGTCAATGTACGTATCAATCTTGATGCAAAATTCACTTTCACAGCATTAAGCCTCCCCCACAGATGTATATCCTACTTGGGAGACATGATGGGAGGACCCAGCTCTCTCAGGGAGCATCCAATGTGGGGTGCAAGTAGAGAGGAGAAGAGGACCCACAGCCAGGTGGATGGATGGAGGAGCTCCTCGGTCACAGGGGCCCCTCTGAAGTGCCATATTGGGGATAGGTCCACATGGAAGAAACCTATCACTGTGGTTGCTCAAAAACGAATTCGATCCCCTTATCTGTCTATCAATTGAAATGGATATTCTCTCTCTCTCTAGCAAGGGACTCTGGGCAGCTTATAAGAGAGAGCCAAAAATAGCAATGTAAAATAATTAAAAACATTAAAATTGGCTTTAGGAGTTAACATTAAAATTCCGGGTCTACCTGCACAATATACAAAAACCCTACATTTTTCTCACCATCTTTGGAAATTGTACCTGTTGAGCTGGCAATGGCACTCCCCTCCCCCCCTTCTTCCCACCCTCTCCTGTAGGTTCTCTCCTCCCTCCAGCCTGATGGCAGCCCCTCCCTCTCCCGGCTAACTTCCAAAGTTTTGGGAAGTCGTTTTGCCTTCACTTGCTCAGCCTTTGGGAAGAGACGGGACGTGTGTCCTTCGCCTCTCTTGAACAGGCTGATCCAGAACGGGTGCCTCTGCTGCTGCTGCTGCTGCTGCTCCTCAGGGGGGGGAGAGGGAGGAGAGCATGCCACACACTGAGCCTGAGTGATCCAACAGATCCTCTTGAGAGGGGGGGGGAGGAGGCTTGGACAGAGCAGCTCCCCCTCCCTGGTTAAAAGCCCCCAACTGGGGAGGAGAACAGCCCAGTGGGTTCCCTGCTGAGGCAGCAGTGCCAAAGTGCCAGGAAGTTCTGCCAGTGGGTCAGGTGGGCATCAGCGCCTGTACATGGCCTGCTGTGCATATGCTGTGCAGGGCTGGGGGCGGGAGAGACCCTAGGTCTGGAGGGAGAGGCCCGCCCAGTCCCAGGCCTCCTTGCTCCGGCTCTTTGCTTGGAAACCCATCCACTGAGTGCAGGACTGGATGTGACTGAATGTGACTCACTGTCTCCTCGCTGAGCCAGGGAATGCGCATGTACATGTACATGTGCGCAGAGAGGGAGTGGGGGAGGAGGGAGGCAGAGGGAGAAGCCCCAGATCTTGGTGATTTTGCTCCTGGGGATTTCTGGATCCAGCCCTGATTCCCACCCTTGCTTCCCCCCCCCTCCTCTTTCCATATGGCTTCCATCCCATCCCTGCTTCCCCTCCATCCTGCCCCACCCGCCCGAGGGATGTTATTTATGGCCTATCTTTCCCGAGGCCTGCTTGGCAACCGGCCAGGAAAGTGAGGCAAGAGGATGGGAGTTGGGTTCCACTTCTTGGCTCTTTGACCATCCATAATCCATTTTGCAGAGCGCTTCCCCCTGCCCTGCTCCCAGCCCCCCCCCCCCATGAGAAGCACAGGTGCTATTTTTAGCTGCAGACAGATGATGGGGGGGGGGCTCCCTGTGAATTCTGCTAAAGGGCGAACCCCCAGCTTGTTTCTGACTCACACCTTTCCCCGGGAGTCTGAGCAACAGCTGCTGCTCCTGTTGCTCCGGGAGGGGGGGAGGCTGACACTACATCTCTCCCTAACACCCCCCCCAACCCCACCCCGCTGTGGGAGGAGGCTGCGCCTTGGGCATTCGCCCTCCTCCCTCCCCTACTACCACCCCAATCGCTACCCTCCGTGGGACCCGCCCAAACTCGGTGGGAGAGCAGCAGGAAAGAAACGCGGGGGACTTTCCGCAGGGCGGGTGCACACCCGGGCTTGACTTGGTGAAAGCCTCTTCCTGGCTCCTGTGGGTATGAAGCCCCAAGGGGAGCGCACGGACGGCTTTCCCCGGTGCCACTCTAGGCCACGAGGGCTGTGGGTGATGCAACCACGGGGCCCCGCTTCTGGCGTGCTCAGCTTCTGGTGAGTAGCCGTCCCGTCTGCTCAGCGCCAGCCCTTCAGCGGCTGCCACAAGGGCACCGTGGCCGGAGAAATTCATTCGCAGGGAGACCTGGGGCTGTCGGACCCCCTCCCGCTGCCGGCCGTGGCCCGGGTCTTGGCGCGGTTCTTTCTTGCCCGCAGATCCCCGGCTGTTTTCTGGAGGCTGCTGGAGATATTTGTTTGCTGCTGCGGCCGCTACGCTGAGCCGTCGGCCTGGCTTCCGCGGGGCTGGGAAGGCAGTGCAGCTGCGGGAGCCCCGGGCCCGCCCGTGCAGCTGCGAGCTGTCACCGAGCGCCGCTGTGCAAGTCTGAGCTGCCTCCAAAGCGGCGGCGGCGGCGGCGGCAAGAGCAGCAAGCGTCGCGGATCTGTCCCATTGCGCTGCTCGCCCTTTGCCTAGAAGCGGAGATCTCGGGCCGCTCCCAACTCTCCTTTCTCCCTTCCAGAGCAAAGGGCGCCCCTCTTATGCTAGCTGGTGAGAAGCGGCCCCCAACCCGCGCTGTTTCTGGGCTAGGAGCCCCTTGAGCTGAGGGAGCAAATAAGGTTAAGTCAGTTGATCTGAGAAAGTGAAAATGAAAGAAGCCGCTCTTTCCTCGGCGAGACGCGGGGAGGATCGAGCGTGGTTTCTGCTCAGGGTTCGCACTCAGGACTTCTGGATGGCGATCCGCGGCCTTTGCCAGCCTCTTGCTTCAGAATAAGAGAGTTGAAAGGGAACTTGAAGGTCTTTTGGTACGCCAGCAGGAGACCCCGGGCCATTCCAGACAAGTGGCTGTCCAGTCTCTTCTTCAACCTCTCCAGTGATGGAGCACCCACAACCTCTGGTGGCAGGTTGTTCCGCTGGTTAATTGTTCTCACAAGAAGGAAACGTCTCCTTAATTCGAGGTTGGATCTCTCTCTAATGATCCTCCACCCATTACTTCCTGCCTTGCTGTCTGGTGTTTTGGAGAGTAGGTTGACCCCTCGGGTTCTGCCTGGTCCCTGCATTTCCTGCTCTTCTTTCCAAAGGCCACAAGGCCTCGCAGGAGCTGCCCTTTCTGCCCCCCCCCTCCCCCAACTGCCTCCTTCCCATTCTGGGTCCCTGGGCTGGAAATGCCTGGCCACCTGTGCAGGGAGGCTGAACCTTCCAGCAAAGCCTGGGACCTGGTGGAAGAGCAAGAAGGCTGCCTCTTCTGCTTCGTGCAACACTGAAACTCCCCTGTGTGCCAGTTAAATCGTGCTCTCTCGCCCCCGTCACCCCCAATTCTTCCTGGCTGAGGACCTACAGAGGGCCACAGAAGCTGAGCTGTTGTGACATTGTGGAAGGGGACCTTTCTTCCACCCCCAGGGTCTTAAGGGAGATCCCCACCCCCCCTTGTGATATCCCTAGTGAGGGGGGGGGCTGCACGTAGGACAGCTGCTGGCCCACTTGGCTGATCTCCAGGGCATGCCCACACGGCGGCTCTTCTGGATGGCTGCGGCGGTTGGAATCCGGCAGCCCAGACTGCTGCTTTGTGGCTGGCAGATCCATCGGTTTCAAACCCTGAGGCCCTTTCTTGGTGCCGATCCCAGGCGGCAAAAGGGGCTCCTCCGAGCGCCCCCTATCCCTCAGAGGACTTGGCCCTCCCCCCATGTGCCTCGTCCCTGAAAAGGACATCACCCCATGTAATTCACCCAGTTTGCCCTTGGCTTTGCTCAGGACGATATGACATGAAAGTTGAGACCATGTTGCTTTCAGTCCGTCTCTGTCACTGATGGCTAACCTTTTCCCCATCACGTGCCAAAAGCAAGGGGAGCGCGGGGGGGGAGGTCGTGTGTAGGCGTGCCCATCCCTTGCGTGCATGCACATGCGACCCCCGCCCTCCCCCCACTTTTTGTGCGCGGTGGACCTGTTTCTCACCCTCCCCAGGCTCCAGAGGCTTTCTAGGAGCCTGGGGAGGGGGGAAACTGTTCCCTCCCGAGGCCCTCGGGAAGCTTCCGGAGGGAGAAAAATGTCCCAACACACAAACCAGAAGCTTGTTCCCGAATTTCCGGTTTGCACATTGGGTTGTTTTTCACCCTCTGGAGGCTTCAGGAAACCCTCCGGAGGGTGAAAAATGGCCGAAAATGAAGGCCAAAGTCAGCTCGCCAGCACACACATGTGTGCTGGAGCTGACAGGGCAACGCCTCGCGTGGCCTAACAAGTGGCTCCGTGTGCCCCCTGCGGCACGCGTGCCATAGGTTCACCATCACGGATCTATGTGGTCACTCAGGGTGAAAAATACTTGGGGGCAGATAATTGCTCAAAATGTTTTTGCCTGTAATCGATCTGTATATTGTTCACCTCTGCACTGAGAACGGCCCCCACCACCAGCCACTCCCCTCAGCCCCACATGGGGGAACCCCTTTCTGCCTGTCCCAGGCGACAGCCTTTTCCTTTAGGTGCTCCAGACAGTGGGAGGGCAGGTGGGGGGCTGGCAGCCCAAGGAGCCCCCATCCATTGCTGAGGGAGCTGGGAGGCTGGTCCCCTCCTCAGGGGTCCTGGAATGGCAGGCTCAAGGATCAAAAGCATTGTGGGGGGGGGGGACACCCACATTAAGGAGGATTGTTCTCCCAAACTCGGTTG